CGGACATAAGTAACATCCTTCGGGTGTCACTGTCTCCCATCTCCCACAGATGGGACCGTCTAGTTGTAGGAAAACAAGCTCAGGGTTCCCGCTGATTCTACATTATGGTGAATTGTATAATTATTTAATGTATATATTACAATGTAATAACAACAGAAATAAAGTGCACAATAAATGTAATGTGCTCGAATCATCCTGAAACCATGCCCCCCACCCCACCTCTGGGTCTATGGAAAAACTGTCTTCCACAAAAACTGGTCTCTGGTGCCAAAAAGGCTGAGGATGGCTGGCTTAAGAAACAGGAATCTATTGTCTTGGTTCTGGAAACTGAAGTCTAAGGATCAAGGTGTCCACAGGGTTAGTTTCCTTCTGAGGTCTCGGGGGAGAATCTTCCAGGCCTTCTCCTATCTGGGTAGTTTGCTGGCACTTTTTTTTTTTCTTTTTTTTTTTTTCTAGGACAGTCTTGTCTGTTGTACAGGCTGGAGTGCAGTGGCACGATCTTGGCTCGCTGCACCTCCACCTCCCAGGTTCAAGCAATTCTCCTGCCTCAGCCTCCAAATAACTGGGACTGACTGGTGCCTGCCACCACGCTTGGCTAATTTTTGTATTTTTAGTAGAGATTGGGGTTTCACCATGTGTGACCAGGCGTGGTCCTCAAACTCCTGACCTCATCGATCCGGCCCACCTCGGCCTCCCAAAGTGCTGGGATTAAGGCGTGAGCCAGCGCCCCTGGCCTGCTGGCACTCTTTGACGTTCCTTGGCATATAGAAGCATCACCCCAACCTGCCTTCATCTTCTCATGGGTTCTCCTTGTGTAGGTCTCTTCACATCATCTTCCCTGTGTGCATGTCTGGCTCTGTATCCACATTTCCTCTTTCCATAAGAGTACCAGTCATCGTGGATCAGAACCCACACTAATAACCTCATCTTAACTCCATCATCTGCAAAGGCCCTATTTCCCAATGCTGCCACATTCACAGGTACTGGTTAGGGCTTCAGCATCTCTTTGGAGGACTCAGTTCAGCCCACAGTAGTCAACCTTAATATAACACAGAATACAGGGTGGTTTCTTTCTCAGCTGTCTTTATATTAAGATGAGAGGTTGAGGGCTTTGGAAATAAATTGTCCCCACACTCAGCTTTCTGCATTTGGTTTTGGTCTGCTGAGAAGGCTCTGACCTTTTTTG